AAAATTTCATTGCAGCAGTGCTCATGGGAATCTCTGTTCGATCTTGTACAGTGCAGACGGGGTGCATAGGAGCTGACGTCTGCCGCTGGGTATTTCACAGCGCAAAGACGGCCTAATTTTTACATTTTAGCCCAACGGACCCCCTCACTTTACCCAGAACCCGGGAAACTTAAATATACCCTGACTGTTGGAGCAAAAATGAAGATGGATGGTTTCGCCAGCATTACAGTGAATGACCAAAGAATCACAATCACAAAATACCCATAAAATCAAGGAAACCATTTCAGTTTGTTTTACTTACTAAGGTGCATTTAATCTCTGACTATCCGGCTGAGAGAAGAGAGGACCTGATGAAAATGTTGAGACACTCATCTGCGTTTGCTTTATTTATTACCATGCGCTCACAGCATTTAAGGTATATAAGCAGCAGTGAGATATACGTAGACTTACTGTGCCTTACTGCTAGAGGTTTTTGGGGCCATATACCATGAATGTATTAAGCACATATGGATAATGCATTTACCAGTCGCGTATGTTGAAAAAGCCTCCATGGGGTTCCTCTTGCTTCCATGTTTTTGGGTCCTTAGAGATTGTGGACTGGAGTCCTTCTCCAGCCAGTTACGAGCATGAACATCCCAGACTTCCACTGGCTGAGCCGGCTGACTTTCTGTTGGGTCCACATACTAATAAATGGGACAAAATAGTATATTCATACAGCTCTTCCAGACCTTCCGAATGTTATTGGACTGAATTGATCAAATTCTTATCTTATTAAAAGAGTCACTTCAGGGGTTTGTCATGCTCAGAAAAATGTATTTATCATTTAATAGCTGCTTCTGTTCTAATTTTGTTTATGGTGAAATTGCTTTTGTGCATCACATGATGATCCCAGAAGTTGCAATACACTATGTTGCCACTACACCAAAATCGCCTCACAGTCCAAAGCCATTCCTGGGGCTTTCTGTAAACAACCTTACTTATACTTATACTCCTTTTTCAGGTTTAAAAAAATCTTATTATATTTTTGATTTTTGCAGTGCAGTACTCTCCCTGAAAACACAGTTAAAATGAACATAGATATGGCAGAAATGGACAGTGCTCTTCTTTTACCAATGACTTACAGGTATCTACTTAGGAAACTAAAGTGCATTAGTGCATTATATTTTACTGCCAATTTTTTTTTACATAGAAATTTTTGTTATACTGCCATTATTTTTAAAAGCATGATGTGTGTTTATATGTTATTTGCTAAATTGATATACATGTATAAATTGCAACTTAGTTTTTTTTTTTTGGTCAGACAACACGTAATTAAACATGATATACTTGTTCCTAAACACAACATGGATCAGTTTCACTTAACAGTACCTGGGCAGTCACTCCATTTGAGATCAGTATTAAACATTTATAACAAGCAGTTTGCTCCTTCTTGTGACGCTTGCTTCTCACGGTCATTTTCTGCACACGCAATCTGTGAGCAGGCCTTTAGTAGTGACGCCTCGTTACAGAAACACTGACCACCCCTCCTCCAGCACATCCACTCAACAAACACATTCACACACTCTAATGAAAAACTCTGTTGAACTATAAATCCTTTTTTTTTTATGGTGTGTTTACACTACGTATCTGAAATGGGTGTTGATACAGTTGTATCTGATGTAAGAGTGAGAAATAGAAGAGGCGATAGCATCTAGTGTCTAATGCTAGTTGAAACTGGTTTGGACCAGCTGCAGTAGATAATTTTCTTTTAGCAGATGGTTGTCAAGACATTGCAGTGAAATTCAGTGATATCTTTGAGAAGATAAAGAGTCAGGTTGTTCAACTCTGGCCTGGCTCATTATTGATTCATTCACTATCATCCAGCATCAATGCACACATCATAACTCTGTGTCTGCTTTGGCCTTGACGCATTTGGTCAGCCTGAAAAAAGTTGCTCATTGTAAACAAAAGCACAGCAGCTCCCCTCTACTCTTTTTCAGACCTGGAAACAATTGCATACAGACGATTGCCGGATGTCATGTCCAAAACATTGTGTTGCTTCTTTGTGCTGTCAAGAGGGCAAAGGTTGTTTTTGTCCCGATCTGGTCAGAGTGAGAGGTCCGTGTGCGTCTTTCTGCAGGTTCATGAGTAGTCCAATGAGAATATCTGAGATCCTCATGATGACTTTGTTGCAGATGGAGAAGAAGACAAAATTGATGTTGTGATTAAGTTTTTGAGTCTGGCAATGAATAATTACAAGTAGCAAGGATGAGTCAGCTGTTGAGAGAAAGAGAGCAATGATCAAGTCCCTCCAAAATATCACACTCTGTAGTGATATGGAGATGGTTTGATTTTAATGGATCAGTTTCAGAGCAGTCTTTTGTGGACTTTCTTCCCTTTTTGCTTCATCAGTTTAAAACAGCCCTTTTTTCAGTCAGACTTTGAATTTAAGTAGTTAATAGACTTTTTTCAACATTTGGGAAATGTGCTGATTTGCTGTCTTGCTGAGAGTCAGATGAGAAGATCGATACAGCCAGGAGACAGTTAGCTTAGCTTAGCATAAAGACTGAAAACATAGGGAAACGGCTAGCCTGGCTCTGTCTGAAGATGTCTGAAGAGAGAACAAAATGTACCTACCAGCACCTCTCAAGCTCACTAATTAACACATTATATTATGTGTTCTATTCATATAAAAACCTAAGGGTAAAAATGACATATTGTGCTTTTACGAGGGGTTTTATGTTGGACTATTTCTTTGCTGGAAGCAGTGACTTCCTGGAGTCTTTTCATCTTGTTGCTAGGCAACTAGACTTTTACTTGCTATATGAAAACATTAATTTTACTCTTTGGATCAACATATCACATCAACTGAATGCCTCTCTGTTCATAGAGGAAGTAAAAATGTGTTTAATTCTTGGTCACAATTTTGAGCGGTGGAAAACTTTTGCATGACTTGTTAAAAATTATATAATAGTAAGAAACTACTAGTAATAGTAGAAATTATTAGTATTGTTATTATAGATAAGTATTTTTTGTTCTCCCGTTGACTAAAATGTTCAGCCTGCCAATAGAGTACATTCACCATATTTCTTCTTTCAACTACAGTTTTCACCTTGTGTGTTAAATAGAGGCTGTGCTGTGTTTAGACATTAGAAAGAAAGCCGTTTTAGGAAGAAAGGTATTATATGAAGATAAAAAGTATATTGTTTAGTGCAAAAATATTTAAAAGTTGATGAAGACGTGTTTTTGCTGTTAACACTAAATCAAATGGCTCCTTGTGATGTGAAAGGCTTGTTTGTGGAACCAAACCAACTGAGAGTCAACACCAAACTCCGGCCCTTTGCTACTTGTAGCAGTTCTTGCGGTTGTTATAGCATCTTGTTGATGCCCAACAGTTCTCACTATTGCCCCTATATTTGAACTAGGACTGTGTGATATTGACAAAAATGTTTTTTTTCGATATTTTAAGGGATTTTGTCGATAACGATAATTGGACCACATTTTGCATCATTCAAAAAATGTGTTAGTAAAAGTCTAAAATTGTACTAGCTTGCTGTAGTTAATAGGATATTAATTGTTGCTTACTAATGACATTAATGGAAACAGGTCTTATTTATTTTATTGAGCATTCAAGTAAAAACAAGAAAATCCTCAGTGCAAGTATGACTCAAGCATTTCAGTGACAGATGACAGATATATTAGCCTTGAGTTCTGTCATAGCTGTAATATCTTTGTAATCATTGTAGCGGTGTTTGACCTGGAGTTTGTTTTTGTGCTGGTACCTTGGCTGGTTTAGGTCAGTTGTGGACAGCTGACTCCCGAAGCTTTTCATACTCTTGAAATTCTGTCTGGTAGTAAGTTTGTGGTCTTTAACAGTAACAGATTTCCGACAAAGATTTGCAGATTGACGTGTTTTGAGCAACATCCATCTTTTTAAAGCCAAACCACCTCCATGTGAGTGATATTGATCCACAGCTAGCTATCCAAACGACTTAGATTGTGAGGCTGGTGGTATCAGTGTTTTACCTCCTGGCGCCATTTGTTCACTCATTTTTAACTTCAGCCATGAATTTTTTTTGACAAGGTGTGTCTGAAAGTTTCTTTACAAAGTGAGTGACGTAGTTTATTCGATTATGTCTGCTCACACATCGTTAAAACAACAGTTAAGATGTTATAGTAGACCATACATATCGCACACTCCTAATGTGAACTGTATTTGAGTTTAATGGACCAAACCAGAGCTAAAATGTGAGTTCTTGACTTTACACATGTCAGGATGCACGATTTAACTCCAGTGTTGCTTTGTGTCTGCTGGTTATGTTATAAGTTCTGTAACAACTTGATAGTCATAATAATTTGAGGGCTATGTTTCTGTGAGTTTGTTTAGGAATCTTTCATCAACAAAAATTAATTACAATCTATTGTTTAGCCAATTTTCCACCCTTATATCTGATGCATAGATTGATATCCTCATATGTGTGACACCTACAAATAACAGGAATCCAACAGCGTGGCGACATCTGAAAGTCCAACTTCAGCCACGTCTGAAGATATTTTTCGTCTCCTCTGCCCATGTTTCTCTCTGTGTCTAAGCTGTTTTGTTTTCAGCCTCTGTGCCTCAACAGCAGAGTTCCTGAAACCACAGGGATATGGCTGCGTGCCACAGAGGCTCTTTAGCTCAGAGCTGCAGAGCTTTACATCACACATTTACAGCCCCTCCACAGTGTATATGATCTTCATACTGTAAAATCTTGTTTATCCAAGCTTCATCTAAAATGACACAGTGATGATTTTCTGCCAATTGTGCACATTTGTTGGGTTTAAGCTGACTGGCTACTTGCAATGAAACAGCTAGGGATGAAGAGAGTGTGCAAGCTTATTTTTTAATTTTGAAATAATCATTCAAATGAATGCTGTTTGAGAGTGAAATGAGGAGGTTTAAGGAGCAAATGGACTGCAAAAGATGTGGTATCAACAATGACATATTTGTCTCTCTCTCTCTCTCTGTTTCTGTTTTCCAGGTTAGCTTTATATGTGTACGAGTACTTGCTGCACGTCGGGGCACAGAAATCAGCACAGACCTTCCTGTCAGAGGTAAGATGTTCTTTCAGTTTGACTTCCTGTGCCTTAAGGCTGACTGTGTGATTCCCCCTCTATTGTATGACCAGGGATGGAATTCACATTATTAGTTGTTCTGGGTTCAAGCAGCTGTTGAGCAATCTTACTTAAAGCTCTGGACATTGAAAGCTGTGACAATATTACTACGTTAATGAGCCAAGATTTGTGGGGGGTTTCTGATTAATTTGGGACAATGTAAACATGGTATCGGTTGGGCTACTTAATATGATTACCCGCCCTTCATTATTAGCTCTAATTTGTAATCATAAAGACTCTATAATTAGAGCAGTTTGACATATTGTGAACATGTGGTGTTGCTCGCTTTCTGCTATGACATTTAAGAAGCAAAGCCAGTTAAATCGAGTGTACCTTTTACATTGGAAAGCATTTGTCCCAGGTCTGCTAGGCTTGTATTAGTCTCATTTTAGGCCCCTGAACTATTGAAGAGGTAAGGTCTCTAGTGTGTTGCATTGTCTTCCTTATTAGACATCCTTCCTGCTAATGGTCCCATGTCCAGGTCGTCTCCTGTACAACACCTCTCCAGCCCACTTGCTTTATTCAGCTTCACTTAATACACTCCCCAACACTGAGAGGGCTTTGATGGCAAGCAAAGGCAGGTCCACATCATTCAACTTTTAATACTGACATCATTTATCTATCATTTCATAAGGTGAGCTTAATGTAGAGTCACGTAGAGATACTGTTGTGCATGCATAAGCTCATGCATGCTGCACAACCAGAAGTGAGAGTCTTGTGAGCTACACAGATTCAACAAGCAGTTCAAATGTCCATCTGTTGGAGTGCTAGCAACAGGCTTTGATGAAGTAAGATATTTGTTTAATCTGTACTAAAACTGAAGTATAAAATAATAAGTTGTGGTTTTATGGGATTGATGTACTGGACTATTTCTTGGTTGGTCACAGTAACTTCCTTGAGTTTTCGTCTTCACCAGCTGTAGCTTCATATTTACAGTACACACTTGAGTTATCAATTTTCTCATATAACTCTCAGTAAGAAAGCAAATAAGTTTTTCTAAAATGTCAAACTGTTACTTTGAGTGGCCCGGTGGTTAGCACTGTCGCCTCGCAGCAAGAAGGTCGTGGCTCCAACCCCCCCCACGACCCTGTACGCAGGATAAGCGGTTGAGGATGGATGGATAGAACTATTACTTTAATGGAGTAATGTTGATAGAGCTTCTGCAACTGTCACTATCAGATGATAATGCCCTCATTATAGTCAATAGTTAAAAAGCAGTATATCTCTTCCAGTTGTGTTGAAAAGGTTTCAGATGTTTAGAGTAAAAAACATCAAACGCAAACGTAGTGGAAAATACCTTAAAAGGAGCAGATACCTGCCCCAAATCACCGTTGCTGGGACAAAGATGTATCAATCAGACAGAAATCGGTTGCCTTTGCTAATAGCGTGCAAGCGGGCGGGCAGCAGGGTGGGCAGGGCTGCTGGAGGCTGGCCCAGCTGCCAACAACCACGAGCAGACTTCTAAAATATGAAGCAAGGATGGTGGGAGCAGCACAGAGGATTAAGTGGTCGGGCTGCAGAGAGCCTTGCTCATTGCAGAGCCCTCGTGGGGAGTGTTATTGGTGAGCTGCTGGAAAAGGGTGAAGTTCTGGGTCTCAGACAACCGGAGGCAGACACACACAGACCCACGCACACTTACACGGCCTCAAACAGGAATTAAAACAACATCTGCACAGACAGGGATTAAAACAACATACACGCAGACACACACAAACAATCCATGTCCACAAGGCATGCATGCTAAGACTGCTAAGTCAGTTTGACGCCAGTTGTCTCAAATTTTGCGCCTGCAACAGTATATTGCTTAATGATTTTGTTTATTTCAACTGCAGCATTGTTTGTATTAAGTTGTCTTATATGGTCAGAGTCAGTGTATTTGGATTAGACTCACAGAAATGAGTACATAGCCTAGCAAGCACAGCGGCTTCACCTTTGACATTTTCCCCTTCGTATACCTCTAGCAGTAGTGTTGTGGGAATTCTAACGAGTAAATGAAGAAAAGTTGCCAATAGACTTGATTTGTTAGACTCGTCTGCATCACTCAATATTCAATTACCATGTTAGCACTTATTAACATTCTCCAGATCTTTCTTGAAGCACACAAAACCTGATCACCTACCCCTTGCTTTGATTTTCCCTGTGTTTCTTACTTTGATGAGCTGCCTTTTTTTCTTTCTGTTCCTCTCTATGTCCTCCTTCTTACTCTCCTCACTGTTTAGTGCCTCCTTGTTTCCCCCTTGTTCTCCTGCTTGTTTCTCCACCGAGGCAGGAGAGCGCTCAGTGGACTGCAGCTTAAACACAAGCAGATGAAGAAAATATCTTCACCGTTTTGACAACACAAACAAATTGAGGAACACATTCATGAAAACAGAAGGGACATAAAAAATGCACTGCACATACAGACATGCTGCGAATCGCACGCAACAGAACTAAGCGTCAAAGTCCATTCTTGACTTTGTAAACTGTAGTTCAAAATTAGGAGATGCAGTTAAAGATCTGGGCCCGTATTTATCAAGCTTCTCAGAATTACTCATAAGAACACTGCTAAGAACTGACTTAAGGGTAAAAAAAAATATAGCTGTGCCTAAAAGTTAGTTATCAAGCATCATAGTCCTAATTTGAGTGAAGTATGGGACTAAATCTTAAGTGTCAGTCTTAGTGCTGATTTACGACACTTTGCTGTGCCGCAAACAGGATTTCGGACGACGATGTAGCCAAGGACCAATCACTGAATAGGTTTCCTTCTTTAAGAATATTCTCAGATAAATTCACATTGAATGGTGAAATTCCTAAGAGGAGTTTATATTCAACACACATTCAGCAATAAAGAATTTTCAAGATAATAAATTATGACATAGGCCTACACATTAATAAATGAAAGATCAAAAAAGTTTATCTTTATATGACCGCCATCAATGCGCCTACTACTCCTGTGAAGCCGGCTACTTGCGTGAACTGTGCTTCTGTCGGATTACAGGGGTGTTGTTGGGAAGTCGATGAAACACGTGACATTGTGTGGAGCTTTAGCTTAAGTGCTATAATTGTTTCCATGACTGTTCGGCTTATTGATGTTTGTGACGGCCAAAATCATCAGCATTGCTGCGTTTGTCCTGTGGTAAAGAAACAAAGTGTCAGCACAACCTTCAGTTTAGCTGAAAACACATTACTGCGTAAAGTCAGTGATGAGATGACGTCCCTCACCAAGTCGCTGAAAAAGTTTATGCCTGCGCTGTCCGACCCCGTCTTATTAACTGCGCGTCGTCAGAATTCTTCCTCTCCTCTCCGCATGTCTCTGTCTCCACAGTGCCATCACAAGCCCTACTGGCAACTCCTAACCACTTGAGAGACCTCTGGAGCTGTCTGAGCTGTAACTGGGAGAGTAAGAGTGATTCTTAGCTTTAAGAAATTTGATAACTTGCTTTTATTCTTAAGTTTAAAAGTAGGAGTAAATTTCATGAATTCTCAGCACTTAAGCACTAAATTGCACTAAATAAAATGGCACTTTGAGAAGCTTGATAAATACTGGCCCTGGTCTGGGGAAAGCTAGTAAGTGAACTAGGACTGCGACTAACAATTATTGTCATTATTGATTAATCTGCCAAGTAACCTTATTAGAATGATATCAGAAAATAGTAAAAGAAATGGCCGTTATAGTTTCTCATAACCCAAGGAGAATTATTCAGAAGGAATATGTATGGAGATGTTTTGTTTTTTTTCTTGCACCAGCAGTCTAAAACCCACAGAGATGCAGTTTTGTAATATAAATGACAAAGAAAAGCTGAAAACATGGAGTGTTTGGCATTTTTACTTGATTGTAAAAACAGTTCATTTTCTGTCCATCGACCAATCGATAACTTAACAAATTAAGATTGGTTCATTGCCACTAAAAACTCATAAACACTAGAAAAGAGAAGGCTAGCGTTACTGTAGGTGAAAAGCCAGTACCTTCAATAATGTCTGAATCATGAATCAAACTAAAATAAACACTGTTTTTATTGTCATTTGACAAATTATCAACTTTAGGATGTCATTCTAAGTGCATCCCACAAACTCTTATTGTTTTGTACAATTTGCAGCATGTCCCTATTTGACTCCGTTTTGTATATTTAAAGTGTATTTATTTAAAAACAAATCGGTGAATATGTTGCTTAGTTTTCTTGCGATTTATTTATTAGGGTTTTTTTTTTCTAAATCCACTAAATGTGTTGTTTAAGGGGTGAAGATGTTTTCTTTGCAATGCGGTAAGATCTCTCAATCTCGGCGCCTATGTACCTCACAGTCTCTTTCTCATACACACACAGAAAAACACACAGGAATATTTCAATAGATAAGGGACTTCTATCCTCGCAGGTAGACTGAAGGTACACACACACACACACACACACACACAGACACAAGCATACATCTGCTCAGTGCCATCTAATGAGAGCGCATTCACCTGGACTCTCCTGCCTCAATTAGCCTCTGTTACTCTTCAGTGAGGAACACACACACACACACACACACACACTCACATTTATAGTATACACACAATTCACTTCTGTCCCCGAGAGGACTTTGCCTCTCTATGCTCTCCCGCACAGTGCACCACTCAGCTCTTTAGCAGCATTAAATCAACAGGCCAAACCCACATATGGCACATCACATCACCATGAACTGCTCTGGGAAATCTATCGAATAGACACTCAAATGGAAATCTGAGGCTTGGATATGTTTTTTTATATTATACATACTGTATAGAAGAAATAGACTAATCTTGCTGCTGTCATGCTGTCCTCACAGACTCTGGTGAATTATGTGTGTATGCAGCGAACGTGTGTGTCTGTGTGTGCAGAGTCATGTCAGTAGGAGTGTGTGAAGCAGGCAGCGGGTCTGTTATCTCTCCCTGTATCTTATCTTGGTGTCCAGATACAGGCAGGAGCTCTGCTGGTGTGTGAGGGCAGTGGAGAGGGCCGCTGCTTCAAGACAGTAACAGTTTCTTATCCACAAACTCCGCACTGCACTGCACTTTACTGAGCTGCCCGTTGGCCTATTTTTCTGTCCGACTATCGCTCCCGTCTGTCTGAAGTTGGAAGGACAGTTGAGCAAAATGATTACATTATGCATAAAACATGCTGGAGTGTCTAATTTTTCATTTGCCCTCCTCTGTCTTCTCATTCCTCTCTTACACTTCTCTCTTGCTCTCAGATCCGATGGGAGAAGAACATCACACTTGGGGAACCTCCAGGATTTTTACACTCATGGTGGTGGTATGTATACCTTGATCATCTCACCCTTTTCTCTCTCTTGACCACACACACACACACAACAGCTCACATTCATACTGTAGAAGTACTCTTCATGGTCTGAAAGAATGTGCAGGGGTGGAGAGGGGCAGTAATTGTAGGGAATGCTAAGTGCATCATCTCACACATGTTTAAGTGCTGTACTACGGGAAACCCTCTGATTGACAACTGAGCATACTTGCCTTGCTCTGTCATTTAAGCTGGACTGTTTTGTTTTTTTAAACTTCACGTTGAAGTATGCACTCTCCAAATCAGAGAGAGAAGCCTATAGCAGGGGTTTTCAAAGTCTGACGCTGAAGTTTTGCAACTACTGATCCCACAGTGCTTTTGGGATGTACACAGGAAGTATAATGGCGCCATGGATTCAGCGAGTTATGCTGTGTTCTACAATTTGAGCATTGCCCTATATTAGTTTACATTTTGGCAAATTGGCATCAGTAAATGTATGCTGAATTAGCTGTTAGCAGTTTTTGTTTGCAGTGTAACTATCACTAGATTACTTTGATACTGAGAAAACTCTCTGATATGTTTCTCGCGCAAATTCAGCAGTCACAGGGAAAATATTTTTCCTGTGATTTTTAAGCTGATTTATGCGTGTTTATTTGTGATGGACATCGCAAATAATGATATCCCCAGAAAATGTAAGTCACACCAAATCTACAAATACACTCTTGAACAAAATCTTACGACCGGAGGAAACATTGCAAGTACTCGCATTTCGCGTTGGTGGATCATAACCGGGTTGTAAGTACTGCTTCAAAATGCCAAAAGAAGAAACCGGAGCAAGAGACAAAAAATAGAGAGTAGACAATTTATTGAAAACTGCATTTAAACTCAAACAGGGTGTTCATCAGCTGATCAAAAGTTTGAGACCATAGGCATAAAAAGGTAAAATCTGCACCAAAATATGGCTTTCGTGTCATTGATCTTCAGGCAGTCACACTGTCATGATCTCCTGATGGCAAAGGCAAAAAGGCTTTCTCTCGTTGAACGTGGCAGGATTGTTGAGCTGCACAAGCAAGGCCTCTCGCAACGCGCCATCGCTGCCAAGGTTGGACGCAGTAAGACAGTCATTTTACATTTCTTAAAAGATCCTGAGAGTTATGGGACAAAAAAGTCAAGTGGTAGACCCAAAAAAATTTCACCTGCACTGAGCCGCAGGATCCGACAGGTTGTCCGTGAAGACACAGGTCGATCCTCGAGCCAAATTAAGGCACTTACTGATGCTGACTATAGCCCAATAACCATAAGACGTCATCTGCGAGAGAAGGGCTTCAAGAACAAAAAACGTCTTCAAAGGCCACGTCTCCTCCCACGCTACAAACTTGCCCGTTTGGAGTTTGCAAGGGAGCACCAAACATGGGACATTGAAAGGTGGAAGAAAGTTTTATTCTCTGACGAGAAAAAATTTAACCTTGACGGTCCTGATGGCTTCCAACGTTACTGGCATGAGAGAGGAGATCCCACCGGAGATGTTTTCTACGCGGCACAGTGGAGGAGGCTCCATCATGATTTGGGGTGCTTTTTTCCTTCAATGGGAAAATGGAGCTTGAGGTTGTCCAGGGGCGTCAAACGGCGACTGGCTATGTGGACATGTTGCAGCAGGCATCCCTCTTGACTGAGGGCCCCCGTCTGTGCGGTAATGACTGGGTCTTTCAACAGGACAACGCTGCAATTCACAACGCCCGCCTGACGAAGGACTTCTTCCAGGAGAATAACGTTGCTCTTTTGGACCATCCTGCGTGTTCTCCTGATCTAAATCCCATTGAGAACATTTGGGGATGGATGGCAGGGGAAGTTTACAAAAACGGACGTCAGTTCCAGACCGTGGATGCCCTTCGTGAAGCCACCTTCACCACATGGAGCAACGTTCCCAGCAGCCTCCTGGGAACAGTCGCATCAAGCATGCCGAAACGAGTGTTTGAAGTGATCAACAAGAACGGTGGGGCTACTCACTACTGAGTCCTTTTTTGACACTTTTAGTTCTGTTGTAGGTTTATTTTTGGGCTATGGTCTTAAACTTTTGATCAGCTGATGAACAGCCTGTTTGAGTTCAAATGCAGTTTTCAATAAATTGCCTACTCTCTATTTTATTATCTATGTAGTCTCTTGCTCCTGTTTCTTCTTTTGGCATCTTGAAGCAGTACTTACAACCCGGTTATGATCCGCCAGCGCGAAATGCGAGTACTTGCATTGTTTCCCCCGGTCTTAAGATTTTGTTCAAGAGTGTATATGTATCATGTCTCTGTGTTACGATTTGTCTGAGCCATAGCACAGAGAAATGCCATTTTTGACTGAAATTGTGACGATTGGGCACAAAGGGTTTTAAAATAACTTAATTGCCTCCATGAGCAGCGTATCACAGCCTCTGCTGTTGCTGCAACTGCTGTGTTGGTGAGCAGGCCCAATCAACAAGCCAAACTATAATAACTAACTTCCTGGCTTGCACCCATCCTTTGCCCCACATCTGTCACGTCATGCCTCCCCTTCAACTCTCCTACCCTAAACCTCTATTCCATAGTCAAGATTTTGAGACTTTTTTTAAGCTGATGCTCAATTTAAGAGAACGTGGCTCTGATGTGGGTTGTTCCTCTGTTCTTTCTGTGTCTTTAAACAAATCTGCAAGATAAATAGAGGACAGCGATTTCTATCTGGTTGGAAGAACCGGGTCAGTGAGATTAGTGCCTGACACTGTTTTTCTCCATGTCGAAATTAGAGTGAATGGGAACACCCAAATGTAGGATTCCCCCTTTCCAGTTGTCAGGCCAAGAGATAGGAAATCCAACTATAAAGCAAAGAGGAGAGCAGACAGGCAGCAAGAGGGAAGCTGGGCAGCTGGAAAGGATGCAGACAAAGAATCAAGCAGGCAAACAGGCAGGGAGGTTGAGAGGCCGAATCACCAGCAAGGCAGCACGAGAGGCAAAGAAAGCCAGGATAAGAGGTTTGACAGGACTCGCTTTGTTTGTCATTCATGCTATCCTGCTCATCCCCAAAGCCCCTGGCCGGCCCTGTGTAATAAACCCGGACATGCGGCTTCATTCATTCATCCTCTCTGGCCCCAGTGTGTGTTGTAATTGTGCAGCCTGTTGACACGGTTCATAATGGTCCTTAAAGAGCCTGGCTTCTCTCAACCTGACAGCTCTCAATTGGACAGCTACCAGTAATACTGACAGACTGACATACACAAACATACAGCGTAGCTTAAGTTTGCTCTCGCCTCTGCCCGAACCAATGAGAGGGCTCAGGGTGACTGGCCCAGTGTGTGTGTGTGTGTGTGTGAGAGAGTGGGTAACAGAAAGGGAAACTGAGCGTAGTGTGTGTGTGTGTGTTCTGACTGTGTTGATATATTTCAGCACAGTGTGAGAGATGACCTAGTGTGTGTGTGTGCGTGTGTGCGCGCGGGCGCCAGAGAGCAGTTAGAGTAGGCTGATGATTAGCCAGGCTGAGCAGGGCAGGGCTCCACTGTAGTATGACCTAGCTGAGGGGCGTCTGTCTGGGCCACGCAGCACGTGGACGTAGATACTCACTGGGGGTGGGGTGGGGGGTCGGCTGCTGGGGGAGGAGGGGGGAAGGAGTCCCCTGTCCACCCCTACGCCTCCCAACCTCCAGCCTCCCCCAAAACAAAAGCTCCAGATGGTAAGAAAGCCACCAACCTCCCTCATCCCTCACCCTTCGCTCCCCCTCCCTCAACCTTTGTCTGGAGGCCTGTCCCTTTGTTTGCGGAAGAGAGACCCCTGAACGGATTAACTCTTTGCATTCCAGCCTCTTTTGTGTTAAACAGCCAAATCTAAGACCCCAACCCTGCCGCCACCCCAGCCCCACCCCCGTTGTCCCCTCCTCAGCACCTCACTGGGGTTTTCTTCCCTCCTGTCTCTGCCTCTGCGGCTGTTTCCTGTAGGACGGCGTTGGTAGTTGCTTGGGGGAGGGTGGGGTGTTAGGGGTGGAAGGGGGAGTCTGGTGGTGGGGGTCACTCATCCACATCTGTTGTTATGGGTGGAAGGATAAAGAAAAGGCTCAGCGAGGGCTGCAGGTGTTGATTGTGTCATTAGCTCCCTCTCTATTGGCTGCTGCTAGTTGTCTCCTCCTTATCCCAAAATCGATTTCTTTAACCAGTTTTCACTGGATGGCCGCTGAACCCTCAATAAACAACCCCCCCCACCACAGACACAAACACACACACACACACACCATAACACATAAAACACACACATAAAAACCTTAGCACAACAACAGAATGTAGAGGGATCCTCTGTGTGATAGCCTCTAGCTGAAATTCTTGTTTGTTAGGGGCAGAGAAAACAGAGAGAGTACAGCCGTCCTCTGCTCCTAAATATCTGTAGTGCTCCTTCTAAACAGGACAGTCTTCTCCACCTCTTTCTCTTTCTCCTTCTTCTCTACTTGCTTGCTTATCCTTCTTTCCTCACAATTTTAAGATCGGACATCGGACCATGTCAGCCTGGTAGTTGCAGTTCCAAGTCAGAGATGGGCCATCGCTGGCAGTGATATCTAAATAAAATCCAATATTAACACTAATGCAGTCAGTTCAGCTAGTTTAAAAGAACCTGTTTGTTTCTGTTCCCTTGTTAATGAAATATGTAACAAAACAAAAAAAGTTTTTTCTTGTATGCCTACAAAGCTAGCAAGCAGGGTAACCATCTTGGAATAATGCATCAGCGGTCTTAAGTCAGAGTAACGGGAGGTTTTCCTGTTCTTCCCACTCCTCTAAAATTACAGCCAATTCAAATCCAATCCAAGTCTATGAGAAATATGCCAATGCAGAGATAGGCTAAGATACCTGCATGTCCCCTTCCAGTGAATCTCATCACTGCATCAATCTTATCTTAACTTTTGCCAAACTTCTTGAAGAGGTTTAGAAGAATTACGGTTTGGTCATATTATAAACATTATATACGTATTACATATATTATAAAAGCAGTATTTTAGACTAAAATCAGTTAGTTTTATGTCAGTTCCTGCGGTCAGTTGCTTTCCTTAGCTCAACTTTGACAAGTGAACTAGCATTGATGACCAATTGCCAACCACGTTGACAGCAATGATGTCTGAAGGAACAGAGACTCGGGGGAGTCCAAAATAGAATTAAAACTTCAATTAATAGCCGAGTCTCAAATAGCCGCCTACCCCTTTTACTAGCCTGGTGTGGGAACACATTTTGACAAATAAACGCAGGTCTCCATTAAATGGTGTAAGTCCGAATGTGTCCATTCCTTGATTATTTTAGTCTGTAAGCGACCACCGATCAAAAGAATCAAAGCAGCTTTTCAAAAAAATATGGGTAAAAAAGTTGTGAATCCTGTCATGTGAAGTCCATTGCTCTCTGTCTGCTAACTTCTGCCACACTTCTCTAATCTTGCACGATGTTGTTGCCTACAAATAAAAGTACATAAGCCACCTGTCGGAGCTAGATCAAATGAATGACGTGTATTGGTATTATTTGATCATTTTTACACAGTTACATTCATACTGTTTGAAATAAATAAACTGTTTCATAGTAGCCTATTTAAGTTTTGTGCAAAAGGAATTAAAGGCCTGTCCCATATGGACGCCTGTCCCAAATATAGGTAGGGTCAATTCGCTGATTTTATCAAATAAAAGCCTGGGTTATTAATCAAAGTTTTACAGTAAGTTAAATTAGCTGTGTCTCACCATGCACTTTTATATGATATTGTAGCCAGTCATGAGACAGTAGGAGGTGGTACACATACTTTTGCTGAGAATAATCATGTTATCTTGCTGTCCGGTTAGGGTTGCCTTCCAGCGCGAACTGTTTTGAGACAACGTGCAAATTGATTTTGCTCTGCCACTTTCCTGTGTGACCGGGCAATGTGTCTTTGCCTATCCAGATGGTCTCTCAAATCTCCACCTTGTACCTGAATGCAGGAATATCCTTCACCTTCATGTGTGAATATCAAAAAACTTCACTGCATTGTTGGTACCCCTTTCCCCTGTCAGTCTTTCTGTGATGACTGTTACTGTAATTATTAGCCACAGTCCAAAGGGAGTGTTCCTGATGGCGCAGTGTTGTTTTTTCCTGCTTGCTGAATGCATTGCCACCAGGAGAATAGCTAGTACTTGAGTCAAGGTAATAAAGACAACTGGAAGGGTTGTGTTTCCCTCCTCCGCTCTTTGATGGCAACATTTTGTCCCATTAGGAAGAGACTGTTCTGATAAGAAGAGGAGACAGCATGGTTGTCTCTTTGTAACTTTATGTTTTTTTGGACTCCGTTTCTTTCACTCATGCTCTGTCTGCCTCCTTATCTCCATCTGTCCCCATCTCTGTCTTTATTTCTATGTGTATTTCTCCCTCTCCTGACTCACTGACGGACTGGCCAAAGACGCACACAGGATTACCATGTAGACCTGCCACAAGCAGCCTGTGTGTCTGCCTTACTGTGTCTTTGTTTACTCTCCTTATTATAATGGAAAAGCACATTGTAACCACCGGCTTTGCCAGACCACAGTTAATTGCAAATAATTATCATGATGGCATTTAATTTTAGTAATTGTCTTCTTCTGGACGGCTGGACGCTAATCCCATCCTTTTCTGTTCTGGATACAAACTGTGTGTGTGTGTGTGTGTGTGTGTGTGTGTGTGCTGACAGTGCATGCTCATATTTTTATACCCCTTGTTTCTCATTTGAATGAATAAAACTGACTCTTCAAAAGTAAGAGCGGTTAAAGTTTCCTTCCACACAGAAGTTGTGCGGCTCTACTACCCATAATACCATAAAGAGCTTCCCATGATGAGATGATTAGATTGAAATGATTAGATAATTGGATAGAAAATTTAGTATTACAAGGGTGTGCAGAGTACAAGATTTCTTGCAGATTGCTGGTGCTAATTAACCACGAATGTTGACTTCCCAGATGATTTCCAGAGATTAGTGTCTCTGAAAAGGAAGCGACAACAACTATGACATAGGCTTTCCCTTTTAAATGTGGGTGGGATTGTCAAATAAGAGCTAACAATGGTCCCATCTAGACTTTACCTGGATTCAGTCCCAGTGACACATGAGATGGTGCAGTAGATGGGAATGAGCTGAATTCCTCTGATTGCACCCTGACCACTGAAAATCTTGTGTTCAGAGAACCTGCTTTTCATTTGTACAATATTAGTGTAATTATGCCTACTAATCCAACACCTTCTCATACCTAATGGCTCCTTTCAACTACGTTTCTTTCCTTTCTAACTCTAAACAGAAAAAATCATATCAGAATAATGAAAGTCTTGGTTTCTACATTTAGTCTCGTCCACCAGCGATCCTGCTTCAGATTATATGCAGAGACACAGAGAATGAGATTTCCCCGCGTGGCTCAGACTGATGCAGGTCAGCTGTTCAAATCGCAATATATTTCAGACTCCACAGGCCATGAGATGTAAGATCACCTTTCTCCTACCCCTGCTCCTGTACCTGGTTGTGTCTTTTCGGTAGCAGACTGTAACCTGCGTCTCATTTCATTTCCCTGAGAGCTGATTGGATTTGCGATGATCGCGCCTTTTCACCGTGGCTCGTGTCTGACGGAGCAGCAATCTCTTTAACACCAACCGATAGATATGATAATGTACACTGGCTTTATTGTCAAGTGACAGAAGGTGTTCACCACCGTCTTTCCTTTTAGTGCCCTGCTTTTCTAGAGGGGGACCCTCAGTGCTCGCTGATCGCCTCAGGGCACGGACTCTGTCTTTTAGTCTTTAAATACTGTAACACAATTTCTATTGTGGCTCATACACTTTGAGTGGTTGGTATTGTGTGCTGAATGGTTGACATTTATTGTTTAAATATTCTTTTCTTTTTTTGGACACCTATTGTTGCAGTCTTGTTTTCTTCATACCCTCAAATAAGTGTAGTGTAAGTGTGTAAATAAGTGTAAATCAGGCATCAACATTGTTTTATAATAACTGGATTTAAGGGATAAATAACACTAAACCATAAAAAAATAAATGTCTTGTTCAATGAAAAATGACCCACATGTGACAGGGAGCTGGTGAGCGATTCTCCGACAGTTATGGGCGATCAGCTAATATTTTCTGCTCCATTTCGCAGTCTGTCATATCAAGTGTCACAGCTGTTCCCAACATCAGCACAAAGGATGCGAGTAACAGGTTATTTGTGCCTTTAAATGGCAGCAAGAATTTCCTCTCATGACTTCAGCAGTTCTTTTTTGTTTGTTGATACACTGTCTATGAAATCAATATCTTGAAGAAGGAGAAGTCGTGAATGTAGTCCAGCTTAGCAGGTACTTCATTTCAGTGCAGTAATTAAGGGTCCATTTGGAGTGGGACCTGGCGGCCCCTTCTGCCCTGGAGGAGTGGGGTTGGTCTAATTAACTAATGTGAGTATGGCTGATTGGGCAGTAAGTAACATAATCACAGCTGATTGGTCAATAACCTGCAGGTCGCTGGGGCAGGCTGAGAGGAACATTTGGTGACCTCTCCTTCCTGGATAAAAGCTCTCTGGAGCTGAGCTGCAGGCTGCAGGCTTCAGACTGTAGGACTGTGTGGTGGCTAAAGTGGTGGAGGGTTCCTGTTTCTATATGGCTCTTTAATAGGACATGGAAGCGAACCGCAATACTTTGGAGTGCCGACTGTGTTGTTGAGTTTTGAAAACAAAAGACTAGTTTATTAATTGATAAGCTGATCAACAGTGATCCTTTTAAGTAATTTTTTAAGCAAAAATGCAGTTGTTCCAGCTTCTCAAACATGGACATATGCTGGTTTTCTCAGTCCTCTATGATAGTAAACTATATATAGCTGGGTTTTTGACAGTTGGTTGAACAAAACATGCTGTTTAAATATGTAAACTTGGGCTTTGGAAAATTGTGATGGATATTTTTCACAAAACAATTAATAGAGAAAATAAGATTTATCACAATATTGTTTTATATCTGCCCTTGAATGGCTGCTAATGTTAAGGCACCTTTTAACACTGCTGTCACAGTTGTACAATATTGACACAAGTCTCCCAGAGTGCTGTGATTCACGTACGTTTATGTTGCTATATAATCGTCAGCACCCAAAAAAGGCTTGTGAAGGATGAGCACAGAGTAACACTTTTAATCCACTACTGTTTCAGAGGCGTTTAGCTTGCTTTGCACAGAAAAATGTGCTTGTGTATCTTATTCAGACAAGTATTTAAACATTTCAGACAATTCCTAGCTCAACTTTTTAATTATCCAAGTAGATTTGTTACACCTCCATCAGCCTACATTCACTCATGTTACACAAACTTCACTCCATTAGGGAAATGCAACTGGATCCACATCAGAAACACACAAACCATGAACATAATATGCCTTTGGATCACACCGTGAGGTGTCTAACTGCTGTCGCTCTTTTCTCCTGTGTGCACAGTGTATTCTGGGATCTGTACTGCGCCGCCCCGGACCGGAGGGAGACATGTGAACATTCCAGCGAGGCCAAGGCTTTCCATGACTATGTGAGTGAATTTAACCAACCCACCAGTTGTGTCCGAGGTGCACAAATAAACACACATCCACCACTTGGACGCACACGCTCACACATGCTTGTGAGCACATACAAGCACACGCAGAGTGTGTATCAGAGGGAAGGGACTATTCTTTCTGTGATAATGCTGCTGGTTCTTGTTTTGACATGTCTGGTCTGCCTGCTGCAGCCTTACTTCTGGATGGGACAGACGTCTGAAATAGCAAGCTTTCAAAAATGGAGCACCTATGAATGCTTGTATATTTTATGGGAAAGCCTTAGACTTCCATCTTTGAATTTTTTAAAAATCTAATAAAAATATATTCATGCCATTCTGCTATAAATCACACGATCAGCTGTGATTAGATAACAGTTCTACTAAAACTAAACTAAAATCTGCCTTAGCCACATAACGCTGTAGCTCATCTGCTGGACACACTTCCTCAAACGCTGACCCATGACCCCTCAGGTCTTAGCAAAACTGTCGGCCTGAGGTGAAAGGTCACGGCACTGCCTGGCTATTCATTGGTCCACTCAAGGCTTCAGGAGAGGTCAACGCACATAAAGCAGCTGGCTGATCACACAAGCACATTAACACACACACATTCACAAACAATCCATATACACATAGGACACATTTTAGAGCTGGACCGGCTTTGCTAGTTGTGGCTGCAGGGCGATGAAAGGTCAGGGTCCACGGCCCCCTTGACCCTCTCATCTTCTGAAGAGTTGGAGCAGTCGATCAGTAACCTATCGAACACACGCGCACACACACAGAGCTGGCTGGTGTGTGAGTGGATCGACTACAATTGAAGGTCTTTGTTGGTCCAGCTCTCATTATTGCAAATAGCCATATTGTGGTGATTATGGCCCTCATAGACGTAACTTTCTCGCTCTCTGACAGTCTGGGATTTAAAAAGGATTTCTATACTTAACCTTCAACGTCTTCCTTTTTGGCTTGTCCACACCATATTAAATATTTGCTCTGTGTTGCCTGAGACATATTTGACTAAGGATTACATGGGTGTTAGGATGTTGACCGGACAGACTGCTTAAACTACTAGATTATCGTTCCACCTGGGCAGAAGTGAAACCTGAAATGGATTAGAGGCGGTATTCTTACCATACGCTCTTCATTCAGGCTGTTTTAGCCCATAGCCAGTCACCCATTCAGTTGAACTCTCTTATGAGGTTTGACAGCGAAAGTGTGAGCGCTTGTCAGTTGAACAGATTACATTTGTTGTGCATGTACTATGCATGTGTGTGTGGGCACGAGTTGATGTGTGTGTGTGTGTGTGTGTGTGTGTGTGTGTGTGTGTGTGTGTGCATGTGTTGGACCACCATAAGATTAATTACATGGTTAATTAAACCTAGTAGTTAATTAAATCTGACAACTGTGTCTAATTAATCTAAATGCAATATAATTTCCTACACCTTTCTCCAGAGGTAGGCCAGCTGGATACCTGCATGTCAGCTCTTTAGCGGCTCTGGTTTGACAGGCTTGGTCAATATATGGCTGAACGGCAAGCTTCAAATCCTGCGGCTATAATAGGCGCATTTCAAAAGTCTGTGTGTTTCAGTCTCTGGCTACATAAATCAGTGTGACGACAGTCAGGATCACTAATGCTGCTGTATATTTTTACAGTGGGAATAAAAATGTAGACTGAAACTGTAGTGTAGGAATTGATGTAGACTAACTATGTGTGTGACCTTCGACCCGGCTCAAGTTCAGGAGGTCAGTGTGTGTATGAGATGTCTGACTGAGTTGTTGGTGACGCATTATTAACATTTTTAATTTAAGAATTGGTTGTTAGCCTTTGACTCCTTAAGGTGCAGTTTTCCGTTTTTAATTTCCACCTAACATAATGGTTGGAAAAAAAAATCATCCTCTTTTAACTCTTCACTGAAGCTTTATGATGTTTTTTCACTGAGTGAAATATTGAAATCCAAGACTCAAATGATTTTATTGTTTCAACAAGTGGAAATATTCGACATATCTTGTGCACTAAATCTTCCCCCATCTCAGACTCATATATATTTGTTCTTTTTGAAATTTAAAATAAAGTTATGTGTCTCTGAACGGTGTTTGGCTGCACAGCATGAGCTGGTAATGACTGACCCAGGGGGCCCCTGCTTTTTAGTGATGCTATTTTATAATAAAGGATTTTTTCCCCTTTGATTTGGTCTATTTGTTGATTGTAAATGCTGGAACCTTAACCCAAAGTGACAGTCAACAGGAAAGCATGACAACAAAGTGTGTGTGTGTGCACAGAGGGTGTGGCAGAGAATCTGACAGTTAAATGCAGGAGTATATGTGTGTGTGTGTGTGTGTGTGTGTGTGTGTGAGCACATGTGCTTTTGCGACTGTGTGTGTCTTTGTGCGTTTGTGTGACAGAGAGGGGGAGAGAGTGTCAGGGTCGAAGCGTGTGAATCCCCAGGGTGATGAGGGGTCTGTCTGTCTCTGATTAACTCTGGCTCCTCGGTCCCCGCAGACCGACGGCCTGATCAAGTCTCTATCACGGCCCCTTGCTGATAACGGCTCCCTCATTCCCCCAAGTCCCCCCGGATCACAGAGTGAAAAACAACACGGTTCCCAGGAGTCGCACGCACTCTGCTCTGTGTGTCGTTCAGCGGGAACAGTGAAAAACGAATGTGTGCAAGATAAATGGGATCTGTGTTTGTTTTTATTTATGTTTTATTAATTTATTTTTTTCATTTATAGTCTTGTTTGGTAGCTATGCTATGAGTTTGTTGTGGGTAACAAAGAAACAAAAATCAGCACTGCGCTATAAAATTAATATTTAGAAAAACAGTTTGCTTATTTGTTTCCTGGATCTAATCTGGTTGCTAGGCGACATTGAGCCAGAGTACAGTCTTCGTTACAGATTTGGTTTTGGCTCAGCACAGTTTGGCTCAATTTGGCCCGGTTTGAAGGCACCTCTTACTCAGCCCTGTCCTACTGGCCCCCATTGTGAGCAATGATGTCGACTGTGTGGACTCTCCAGTTTGGGAAAGATAATGGAATATAATGTGCTAATCCTCAGATCTGGGGACTGGTTGACAGCTAATCCAGGGGAATGTGGTGGGATTGGAGCCCTGGCCACACTCCCAGAACTGCAGGCCTCTGACTAGCTGGATCGCTGGTTGGCTTCACCCTGGGATGGTGAATGCGCAATCGTAGCCACTCCAACTCACGCGTCAACACTCGCACATGCAGGCACGCTTCTGTGCATATCACACACCCACACTCATATGCAAATGAATGCACACAGTCAAAGTGAGAGAGATGATACTGTATCATAAAGAGCTGGAACAGCCTGAAGTCTTGTTCCTCTGTAAAGTAATTTAAGTGGTCTCTCTTGTCGTCTTAATTGTTGAAGTTGTGTTGCTGTCCTTCCTCTTCACATTGCCTTTTAATCATGTTTATTTCCTAAAAGAGATCCACACATCTTATAGTCGTCTTTTCTGCTGGAATTTGGATGTTCCTCAAAAGACTACTTTGTTGAGGGAACGTGTTTGATTATAAGAACACGGCACGTCTTTAGTAACTCAATATGAATGATTAAAGGACGCAAGCTTTGTGATGAAGAAAGCATATGTATTGACGAGCGAGCAGGCGCGCGCACACACACACACACATTCTTGCTCACATTAAAGGCAGGCAGAAGAATGAGTCTCTGTTTTCTCTGACACACACACACACACGGATTCACTTGCAATCGCAGACAGTCTTTCAGGAAGTGATACACTCAGCCTTGTTGTTGCAGACATTTTGCTTTGCCCCAGCCAGAGGTCGCAACCCCGAACATCTGTGATTCATGCCAATCTGGGTTCACTGCCTGCGGAGTGTCGCAGATTTAGTGCCACAAGTGCGTCATTCACATCGCAGAGCATCACTGAGTCCATGCAGCTCTCGGCTTATTGATGAGATCTGTCATCATGATGGTTTGAGATGGAGGAGTCAAATATGGCCAGTGAAATGTTTTCTTTTCAGCATCACACCTTGTCCAAAAATAGATCACATCAGGAAAAACTAGTATGAATACAGTTGTGAATTTGATCTAGTTCTGAAATGATTATTCGAAGGTTAATGATCAAGCCTTCTATCGTTCAAGTCTTATATAAAAAATGCCGAACATTCACTGCTTCCAGCTTCTCAAAGGATGAGGATTTGCAGTTTTTGTCTGTTTTATGTGTTTGTAAATTGTAAAAAATTTGAGATTTGAACATGTCATGTCAGGGCTTTCTTAGCCATTTAAAGACTAAATACCTAACAATTATTTCCCCTGACCAACAGGCCAAAGCTTGAAGATATTAATTTTACTATCATGACAACAAAAGGAGCAAATCCTCTTATTAAAGAAGCTGGAACTAGCAAATGTTTCCCATTTGTGCTTGAAAAAATGACTCAAATGATTAATCAATTAATCATCAAAATGGTTACCGATTCATTTTCTGTCAATTGACTAATTGTTTCAGCTCTTAATCAATTAATCTAAATAAAAAGGATAATGAAAATAACTTGGAGTCCTCATCTGATCCGTTCCCAGCATGCAGTGTGCAGACAGTAGATAGATGGAGGTTGGCTGTTGCCTGGGGATCCTTTGAGAGGGTTAAACATTTGTCAGGCTGGACCACAGTAACAGGTGGCACAAGGGGAGGAGCTGCACTCTGTAAACAACCGTTGATGGCCAAGCCTTTGTCTGGACTCTGTGTGGGATTTTGTGTGTGTTTTGTATCTCCACAACTCCCTGCGTTGCCGTACCAGGTGCTCACCGGCCTAATTTTAACGCCGCATGTCGCTGAAACCCTTCCTTCCCTTTCGTAGCAGTCTTTGTCTCTGTCCTTTTATTCAAACACAGAATTTACTCATCCTGCACTGTTTTTTTTTTTTTCTCCCCTGCTTCAATTCCTCTCAGGTCTTTTTCACCGCCAACACCCCCACCTTCACCATCCTCCACCCCCCAACTCTTTCTTTCCTTTCCTCTCTGT